CCTCGGCTGGCAATGCCAAGCCTAAGAGTGCAATGAAAAAGCTTCTCACACTACAAATTGTAAAAAATGCTCGGCCAAACACTTTGCTTGTATGTGAGCGCCAAATATTTATTTATTTATTGTAGGTTTGGTGTAGTGTCGCACAAAGTGGATAAGCATGCATTGAAGTATTATTGTTGTTGGGACTGTCGATACAAATTTTTTTAATGCTAAACAGAGTTTCTTTGATTTGTGAATTTGTAACATTTGTTTTTTTTTTGAGATTGGGGATCCCCTCAATATCGAATCAGGAGACTACTACTTAATATGCAACTAAAATTCGAGTAAAAATTCAACGTCACTCAGTTAGCAATTACGAAAATATGTGCCACGAAATCGCAATTCACCGGACGTTAGCAGCTTAGTGCTTGGCAACCTACTTATTGCAAGAAACGACTTTCTACTACAATTCGCACGGTTTGGCTTGGTGGCCTCTACTGGCAGCTTCAAAGCATTATGATCATAATGAGAAAATAAGAAGACACCTAATTACATACATAGTATAGAGCTAACAAGGTTTTATGAAAACCCCATAATTTAAATAAAAGTAGCCACGCCTCTTCGGCGTCAACTAAATTAGTACCTCACCGACGCCGCCTAGCGTTGCCTACAAAAGTTTTGCAAAGAATATTTTACGCATTTCAATTTTTTGTTTTCTTCTTCTAGTCGCTCGCACTAACTGCTAGTTGCTTAATTTACTGCATTCGCTTATTTTTTGTTGACTCACTAAACTTGCCGCAGTTGTTCAGCTAACCCCCTTCCCACAGCTTTGGTAGTACGTTTTGTTTGCTGTTTTTTTTTTTTTTTAATTGGCTTGCCGCAATGCCTCGATTTGTAACGAACATTTGCGGTTTTTTTGACTGCTCAGCGTTATTCTTTGGGATTTTTCATTTCATTTTTATGTGGCTGTTAATGTAGCTTTTTTTGCGGTGTGTATTGTCTTTCCGTCTGAGGTTAATATGTATGTAAGTATGTAGTTTACCGCTAACACATTTTTGTTTTTATTATTTTCATATTTTCTCAGTTTTTCTTTGGTTAAATGGCGTTACCGTTATTCTGCTGGCTTTTACTTTTAGTGTCGCAACATCAACACATTCGCGCTAGTTATGAATTCATCATCGTTTAACCCCCTGCCTTTTTTTCTTACACTTTTTTGAAAGTCATTTAAGTTGCAGAAGTTCACGACTCCAGTCAACTTAAGTACACAAATATGTAGTACATACATAGATGTATACGTACATACAAATGTATATATTTTTATAGAGCCACATATCTTAAGGGCCTCATTAACTCTTACTTAGCTTTGATTAGTCTTTGAATTAGTCTGCCGCTTGGCTTGGTTAGTCAAACATTCAAAATCATGTAACCAAACACTCGAAACTTTCTTTGAGTAGTTGTAAAAAAAAAAAAAATGCATTGCACACCGACTTTTATAACCGCTTTTATCGTCCAAAACTTAATTTCAACGTTGGAAATTTCTTATAATTACTCGCTCGTGTTGAAAGGGTGTTAGCTGAAATTTACTTTATTAAAAGTTTTACGTAATTTTAATGGTAACATTAATGGTGTGGCTGGCCTAAGAATGTGGTATTTAAAAAGTCATTACATCATTGAAATTACCGCTGGTTTTTTATTATCGCTTGACGTTTGTTTTCTTGAAGGATGTATGTAACGCTTTTTGTTATCACAGCTCAAATCTCTAAACGATCTGCTATTGTCTGCTGACAGTCGGCCAGAATCCAACTTATATGTACTTATGAATTTGTTTATGCGACTTACCTTCTGCTTACCTCGGTTTTATTTTCTATACCTTACGTTGCTTTAACTTCTTGGCTCAATTAAATCTTTGAATTGCAGTTGATTCCTAAAGAACAGTTCGTTGATAAATATATATGCATGTGTGTGCTTCACAATTGTGTTTTAAAACTTCTTTTTATACCTTTTGTATATCTCTCTTTGAATCATTAGTTTTTGCACACCATACTTTCACACTCTTTTCTTGACTTTCTGCCAGAAAAGTCGAGCACTTATCTTCCTGACAGTCCGTTAGTTCTGAAAGCTTTAAACTTAAAAATGCAAAGCCTCTAACTGTATTAAACCAACTTTAAATAATTTACTAAGAATCACACCGCTTTTATAGCTAATGAACGCTGGAACAACCTTTGGTGTTGTGGAACCTCCGGATTTATGTGGCTTTTCCGTAAAAGGAAAAACACATCGGTGTCTAATTAGCAGGGAACGGATTTTTAAGACCTAAAAACCTATAAAAAAGGCAAAATAAAATAACGAAATAGGCTGGAAAAGGCAAAATAAAATAGCGAAAAAGGCAGGAAAAGACACTAGGCATTGCAAAAAAGGCAAAAAAAAAGGCAAAAAAAAATTGCGAAAAAGGCAGGAAAAGGCACTAGGTATTGCCAAAAAAGCAAAATCAGGCACTAAAAAAAGACATAAAATACGAAGAACAATCAAGTAATACATTTATTTTAGAAATGTTTATATTACAAGTAAGAAGAGAAAAACTATGAACTAGTTTCATTATATGAAAAATTTGTACTTTGAATCTTTGACTATTTTATCCTTTCGAGTTTCTAACTCATAAAACTTTAATCTGTATAGTTGTAGTAACATTGAACCACAAGATGCATTTTGAAGTTTTCTGGCAGCATTTTCATTCGATTTTCGCGAAGAAAAGCCTTGAATATACTAAATGTGCGCTCGACGTAAGTTGATACAAGCGGCGCCCAATTTAAATATGGAAGGTTTGAAACGTTCATATTATCAAGAATAAGGGCGTTTTCATCGCCCTTTACAATTTTATCCACAGCCCTTATTGTCTCCAAGCCTACGTTAGCTGAGAAAACGGCTTTGAATTTTTCCAACACCAATTTGGCAAGAGGTCCCTGCGCTTCTATAAGCCGCATGGGCATGTGTATATTTATTAATCTTAAAAAAAATTGTAAATGCTATAATCACTTTTTTAAAGGTAGAAAAGGCAAAAAAGGCAAATATCTTAAAAAAGGCAAATATCTTAAAAGAGGCAAAAAAAGGCAACATCAAATGTGTATTGATGGAATCAGGGAAAGCTAAATCGTGGACATTCTTAATCGGATATACTCTATCTCTTTAGCAGAAAAAAAGGCAATTTCCATGAAATCCGTTCCCTGCTAATTAGCTTACGCGCCATGAGACAAGAGGGTGATCACAGCCGAACATTGTCATAATTGCGAGAACATATAAAAAGAAAATTTATAGTTGCTTTTATGCCATAGTCCGGTTTTAAAAAAGAAGAAGATTATACACATGCCAAACCATTCAAAGCCTTACAGAGATCTCAGAGATGGAAATAATAGGAAAGTTCACAGCGACAACTAATGGTTTATACCCGAGTTAGTTTGCACGTTAAGTAGCTTGTCGTTAACAGATTCTGAAAAAGAGTAGCGTGTTACGAAAAACTAATTTTCTTAAATAGGAATCCCCGGGGGAAACTAAAGATCATTCGGCTTACAGTCAACTTGCTTCCGTAAAAAATGCATCCTTTCTCAAAAACCACCACTGTTTACCATTTACATATTTCACATGATGTGTGCGAATTGTTTCCAGACAGTTAAAAAAATAAAAATAAAAAATAAAAAAAACTTTTGAATGTACCACGTTTCTTTTCTAAAAAAAAAAGTAGAAAATAGTAATAGCCGTCATGGATTCGCCAAAAGTTAGCCAATGGCGAAACGAACTGACTCAATGAGGTACAACCAAACTCGCTATCGTCCATCCTAGCTGGGTTGAATACTTTCAGAGCTGGAGCGACGGTGTCCATTCGAACGACATGACCAAGCCAGCGGAGTCTCGCTGTATTTTAATTCGCTGCACTATGGGTTTTTACGTGGCGGGTCCCAAAGCCAGCGCACAACCCATTGCTGGGACGGGGGTGGTTTCGCAACCAAATACACGTTTATATAGCGAGCCGCTTGCTCCCAGCAGACACCTGCTTGCAGCCGCACCTACTGGTGAACAGATGCTGCGGACTTCAGTGAGCCCTTAAACCGAGTAAGTCGGAGTGGTCCCACCGAAGCTCCCTCTCTTTCTGCCGTGACCCAAGGCTCCATTCGGATTGGTTACCGCATCTCGCACATGGGTTGCTCACGTTTCCCAGAGTGCGCGAACGAGGACGCAAGAGTCGGGATTGAGTATAGCCGTGCAACTGTAACTGCATACACAGCACAACCAACGACTATACCCCACTGCACTCCAATCCTATGATTATGTATACATAAAAAAAAAAACTAGATGAGCAAAAGAGACAGAGCGCTCTTTTATTAGGAGAAATATTTTGAGTTTCGTGGAAGCGAGAGGTAAAAATTGAGACAAAAGAACTGAGTTTTATTAAATATAAATTTATTTGAAGAGCGCTCTTTCTTTTTTAACTCACAAAGGAGGAAATCAAAATTGATTGTGCAAAAATATTTTTACGCACTTTCTGTTAGGATTGCAGGAGAACCGTGGTTCCTAAATATTTTTAGTCAAGAAATCTGAATAAACTTTCAAAACCTCCATTTTCCACCGAAATACAGTCTGTCAAATGTCACCGAAAAATTTTGAATTTTTCTTAGTTGCCCTTTTAATTTTTTTAGGTATTCAAACCAGATAAATTTTCCTGGACCCCACTTTTCTTGTGAACCACCATGTTTATTTTATGCCAACGTATGTAGACCCCGTCAAATCTCCCGTGGATACCTGGGGGCCCACCTAGAATCTCTGCTCTAGAAGATGGTTTTAGAAAAAAGTATACCCAGTATACGCATATTTTTTCCAAAGGAATGGTTCATCCCCGATTGTGTACAAAGTTAGCATTGCAGCATTGGTTTTCGGCGTACTATGAAAAATATTGAACTGCTGACTGAACTTAGTTTAGTTCTATACAAATACTACTAATACACCGACACATCTACATCTTACATTTTCAGATGTGCGTGAGCATTTCCGATCTTCGCTGGAGACATCCGAATACGAAAATACATCGAATATGTTTCATGCGACTGAGGCGGAGTCAACGCTAAATCTTTTACTACGCTGTGAACTGCTGTTGGCGAACTATTCCAAGGATGATGCAAGTACAACAACACTTAATAACAATGAGCGCATTGTCAATGGGAAAATGAAGTCAAACGAAGTCAATGAAGGAATCAATGGAGTTAATGGGGTCAATGGCCTGCCAATGCAAACGAGGACAAATACAGCGGACAGTCAAAGCAATAATTCAACAAAGAACGCCTCCAAGCAGACAGAACAACAGCACGAAGACGCTTCGTACTTGGATATGAGCGGAGGAGGCAAAGCTTGTGGCAAGAAATGTAAGTAAACGCTTGACCTCTGCCCACAATGCCAGCATATGGTCATATAAATACATACACACATGTGTATATACATATGTACATATGATTCTAATGACTCATGAGTTAATTAAAGTAAAATAGTTTCCAATTAAAATTAATTTTTATTTTTTTTTATTTCGCTTGTACATTTCAGCCTCCAGCTGGTATGATCACTGGAATAATGAAACGAAGAGCGATAAGACTTTCCGGTGCTCAGTACGTCTTGGCAACCAAACCAACAGCCAGGCATACAGTGATGATGATTTCGATGAAGATGATGACGATGACAGTGAAGGCAACGAAGATGACAACGGCTCTCAAAATTATGATATTTGTCAGGTATCCAGCCATGACAAGGACGAGATGCAGAAGGCAATAACGCCCGAATTGGAACCAATGCAAGCGATTGATTGCCCTTATATGGATTTGCCTGCGGGCCACCTCTCCATCGAGCGCGCCACCAAATATGGTCAGCTGCAACGCATTGAGAAGCGTTTATTTTTCGATCAATGCAAAAAGTATTACTGTGGTGTGTTGAACGATTGGCTTCTCTGCTATGCAGATGGCCCCACCGCAGCACATCCGAGCATTACCTTGTATCTAAAGCACAGCGGCATCGAAATCGAGCATTATGGTGAGGGCAAGCGTCGTGAAGTTTGCTTCCAGATAACCACCGCCGATCCCAACAAGAAATTCCTGTTTCAGGCGAATAGCGAGGTGGATGCCAAAGAGTGGATAATCGCCGTGGAGACGGCTATACGTGGGGATGCAGCACCAGCCAATGTTATGAAGAACGTTCGGAAACTGCCAACACCGCCCATTGTTAAGAAAATAACATTCATGGGCCATATGAGCGCCGCGCCAGCTCATGATTGCATTTACGAGGAACCTTCTCCGCTCTTCCAAACAGAAAAGTCACCCAACAAACCGCCAAATTTGCCAGTAAAGAAGGACACCTTATCTGCGCTTGATATGGTCAACTGCTTTGAGTACGATGTGCCAAAGTGTCCACCACAGCCCATTAAATCAGTTGATATTAGCCACACTGAATCGGAAACTGTTGAGCTATTGAATTTAGGTGAGAAGAGCATGCTGAGCGCTGAGAAAATTGAATTCCAGTCCATTGTCAAGGATGTGCATAGTAAGTTGTCTAGTCAGTTATCGGCGGGCACGACGCCGGAGCGTCTAAAAAAGGTCGCCAAAAAGACATACTCCGGTAGCAGTGCCAGCGATGTAGAAGCTGTAGCGCTTACGCCCGCTTCAGCTGCAGCGGCTAAAGAACACAAGAAACAACGCAAATCGATCACGCCAAATGTCAGTCCGCAGAAGGGTAGCAACAGTGTCATTAACAATCAAAACAATACCAGTAACAATACGTGTGCTAGCGAGCGAGCAGCGGTGAAAAGTTGGTTTTTCAATCGGCTGAATAAAACCACCTCTTCGGGTCGCAGCACCAGTTCATCCAACTCCACATCTTCTTCGCCAGCCAAATGCAAACAAAGCGAAAAAGAGAATCTACTGCAGAGCCTCGAATTGCATGACACGGTGGATGGTGGTGGAGGCAGTGATGCTCTACATAACACCAGCAGCAATCCCGCTTCACCAATACTAAAGAACTCATCCGCTGGCGGCACTGCCGGTATGGTGGATAGCTCGATGAAGAGCAAAGTTGATCTGATAATTAAAGAGTTCGAGACAAGTGCGCACATGGGCATGCTCACCATGGAAACGTTGGCGGGTAGTGCTGTGGCCTCACTTAGTTCCTTCTGCGACAATGACTGCAATAACTATGAGCCCATCATGACTGTGACAACACCACCAAGCAGCTTTTTGAAGAAAATTTAGCTGGCGACTTGCGGAAATAGCCGAGTGTAGATTGAAGACATCACTGGATGGGTGCATGGTGCATCAGACACTCAATTTATTTCTAATATTAATTTTATAAATTCAATAATGCTTTAGAGTTGCACTCTTGCTAAATCTTGAAGTGCGTGGACAATAAGAGTATTCATTATTTCAATTAAAGAACTGTTCTTTGGAATAAACAATTTTTGTTAGAATTAAAATGTAAGGAAAGGTTCTTTTTTTCGGATGGTACAAGGTTTGTGGATTCTTCTAAAATGATTTAGAGTTAAGGGATACTCCACCTACATATGTACATAAGTATTTGAAATTAAGTCACACACAAAAACTTTTGGCTGCCGCTCATATGAGCGAAAATTAGGTTGGGTTAGTCTGGCTGGCTGTGTCACAAACATACGGATAGCAGATGAAGATAGCTGAAGGCTTACCCAAGAAGGTCTGATGAAGTGATTCCCTGTATGGCTTCTAGAATGGCGTTTTCTATTGTACTAGTTTATATTATTTGCAATGCATTTTTGGTTGCAATACAGCAGCTGGATACAATTAGTGAAATTGATCATTTTTGTGAATTTGGATTGGGAACGAAAAATTAAACTGAAGATGGCACGGAGCCTAACTGCTCTGTGCCAAAACCAAATTTGCTACTCTTTCGAACTCCGAAAGAGATGAATCGCAGAGATACGTGCACGAAATAAACAACATTCGTTTCACACGAATTTTTATTCTTACTTATTTAATTATTAAATTTTAAGTTTAATAGCTATTTTAGCTTAATGGCAAAAGGTTGCAGTACAACTCAAATTAGAGAACATAAAAATCAATAACAGATCATTTTATTTTTCCGCACATTTATTTCAGATAACATTTTTACGCTTGTAAATATGTGTGTAAAAATCGTTTAACATTAAATATTCTTTTTGTTGTGAATTTATTGTTTCTATTATTTTGTGTATTCAACTATCGCAGCAAAAACGGTTTTGAAGTCCCACAATTTTTAAAATAACTTCAAAAACCCGTCAAAAACCAGTGAATTTGTTAAGGAAATGTACAATTTTCACAAGAATCTTGATTTTACATTAAAAATCGGACCATGGTGTTTAAGCAATTGTTTGATATATCTTCATTGATTTTCGATACACTTGCTAGCAATGATAACGTCAATATATAGGAAACGTCAATATGTAACTACAACATTAATAACTTTTATTTTTTAATTTTATGACAAAATTAAATGATGATCGGCTAGCTATTTTAGTGAATGTATTTGTATGAATATATGTAGACTATATACATATACATATTTTAAATATTTATTTAGTATAAAAAGAACCATAAGAAAGGTGGCCCAAGAAAGAAAATTAGTTTCATTTTTTTTTTTAGCAGTTACGAGGTAGTCTCGCGATGTAAAGCAATACAGTTTAGGTTGAATATTGGAACATTTTTATGAATACATAGTATATTCGTCTGCATGGAAGTGCATATGCCTGTATGTAACTACATATTGACAGCTAAGGAATATAACAAAATAAATTATAAATAAAAATTCAATAAAAAAGCTTACAGTTAGAGATTAAAAGTACATAGCGCTTGATTTTAGCAAGCAACATGATTAGTTGCAGTATTAAAAATATCATTCTCGTAATTCAGTTTTTATTAATATTTTAAGAAAATTTATATTGGTACGCAATCGATCGATGTGCTTGTGTAAATCGTTTGGTTTCTTCAAATGTTGCGTTTTCAGCTTGTCAGCGCTTGAATTTGCTTCTGCAGGCAGTCGCCATTTATATTTGATAGCTTCGATTAGACTTTAAGACTGTAGCAAAGGCATATTAAACGGAGAAATTATTACAATTTCTTGTGCTGAGATTCCAAAATTTCAATCAAGCGATCGCGGCGCTTTGGATCTTTGATGAAGATTTGTTTGCGGACCACTTCGTTAGTTGAAAACATGCCCATGACTTTTTTGTTTTGCTTCTTCAGTCTGATTTCAAGTCCTTTATCAGTCGGTGTAAATGCGTCAATGTTTTCATATCGGTATTTCCATTGTACCTTTGGATTTAAAAGAAATAGAATAAGAAACACAGGATAAACTAGATTCATTTTTAATATTAAAAAGCATGCGTACCCCTTTCGCCAATAAGTGTATAGCGATATTAACTAAATATTTTACTCACCGAATATGTCCCGAAAAGATCATTTTTGGTTGCATGTATGACGCGATGGTTCGAGACGACCAGGAACTCGTGTTTTGGCACCACTTCTTCGCAGTGTATAAAAACATCGGTGCCAGCATATTTGCCTTTTTCGATTTCCCTGCAAGTAATTTTGTCAAAATGTCATGTTCCCTTTAAATTTCAACATTGCCCTTACTTAAATACACGATTGCCTTCGGCTTCGGCTCGACAATAGGGTCGTATCACATTATCCTGGTGTACGTAGCGTGGCGCACGCAAACGCGACACTTCATTTTGTCCTTCAGCCGCGCGGCGCACCGCCCCAAAACTGCCGCTTGCAAAATCAACTACACCAGCTGTGGGTTGTGCCACAAAACCAATCATGCCTTTGCCAACACCCTTGAAGAAGCCTTCTACGCCCTCTTCTCGTGCACCAGCCACTGGTTTGGTTACCACGCCCGAAACGCCGTCTACAAAGCCCTACAAAAATGTAAAAACAAAAATAATCAAAATGAAATAAAATACTGAAATACTCTAGCTAGAACTCACCATAACCAGACTTTTGCCGCTGCGTGCTATACCCTCGGAGAAAGTTTGTGGTTTCTTATTCATGTGCAGACGTCGCTTTTTCTGATACTCCTCGTCGAATGTCAGTGCAGCCAGCCCTTTACCCATTGCACCAGTAATTCTAAAATATTTTAATACACATTATCTAAAGAACAAATTTGTTTAACCTTTCTACATACTTCGATACGGCGCCAGCTGCTCCCCCTACTGTGTGACCGAATAGTGATTTGACGCCGAGCGCTAGACCTTGAGCAAATTCGCCAGGCCCTTGTATAGCACCCTATAATATTAGACAACTTTAGTAACTAATTTACATGCAGCATTCACAGTGCAAAATTTACCTGGAATGGTTCATAGAACAAATCTTCAACGCCTTTCTTTAGACCTACAACCAAGCCATACGGATTGCCAAGCACATCCAAGCCCAAGACAAGCACGTACAACTGTTTAAGCGCTTGACCCGTATAATGTGCCGTGATCTCAGAAGTTAATTGCTGCTGCGTAAAGAACTGGTACTCACGCTCGAAGAAAGCCAACCGAAAAACGACATCATTAACATCGGTCAGCGTAACTCCAACGCCTTGCACCAGCGTAGATAGAATACCCGGCAAAGCTGTGGTGTCCGAACCAGCCATCGAGAAACTGACGTGTATTTTAATTGGTCCCAAATGCAAATTATCATAGAAATTCTTTTGTTCTTGCGCAGAATGCGTCTCTACGAGATCAGATAGTGGCTTTTCAATCGATTCCACATTTACATTGAAGAGTTTAGCCGCTTGTTCATCACTTACTTTCGCAGCGAACATGTCCGCGAGTGCTGTGAGAAACATTAAATCCACTTTGAAATGGAATTCCTGTATGAGCATAGTAGCATATTTGTATTGCTTGACCGTGGAGTTGGGCACCACCCATTGCACCACGCTCATTTCTATGAACGGCTTCAGCACCGTCGTTGTGGCAACACTCTTAGGCGGGGGTATCGGCGCGAGCACAACAGGGAAGATATAATCATTTAATTGATTGTCAATTTGAATTTTATTGATTTTTGCATGCAGTTGCATTTGATACGGTGATGTATTCATTTTAAACCAAACGCCCGGATAAAAGGTGCGATGTAGTTCGCGCTCTCTATTCTTTTTCAGAATCATGTTTCCAAAATCGATCTGCAAAAAGTAATGGGAGTTTAATATTAAACAATTTTGATTATGCAAAAGCAATATTACTTCATGTTTGCTATCGAGATAGTATTTTTTCACTTGTTGCACACTTCGATCTACCAAATACTGTTGATATTGCTCCTCTAACTCTGCGGTTTCATGAATATTCATCTGTTTGAAGTTCTTTGAACCCTTCTTTTGCTCCCAAATCACACCTAAAATAACGCGGAGTAAGGAGATTAAAAAAATGTTAAGAAATTTTAAAATTACCAAACAGAGAAATTACATTACAGCGCTCAAAATGTCTCCAATACCCTGAAATACACAACTTTCAATTTTCTCAAGGCTCTATCGGCTATACTGAAGGTTTAAAAAATAATAATCTGGGCGGTGTAAAATATATTACACATAGAGGGACAATTGTTTCTTCTCTTTGCTTTGAAAATATGCACGTATTTTAAATGTGATTGCCGAATCTTCAGTTTCTAAAAAAAGAGTAAAAGTATTCTTACGGGAATAGCTTAATCAGTGATGTCAAGTAGAAACGGATTTTTATGAATATGTTGAGATTTCCAGGGTGTTAGAAAAATGTAAACATACACTATTCAGCCAGAGCTACAACCTCTGTTAGGGCACTCAAAATTTCAATTTCACTGTTAAACAAAATTTGTTTACGCTCCACATGCTGCACTTTATTTATCCTCTCACCTGAGCTCGCTATGCCCATATACAAAATAGTCGTGCCAATCGCATTATTTATAAGTGAAAAGCCAATGCCATGGATACGCAGTTCGACTGACTGCGTTATCTTTTGTATTGTCGCACTGCCTTCAAGCCTTTTAGCGATAGCAACATCTTCGGTAAATAGTAATACACGTTGCAAACCATCCAAAAATGTTATCCAGTACGCAGTCGAACCATCCGCTAACCTGTTAGCAAGGATAAAGAAAATAACGTGATTATTATACCCTCAAAGCTGTTTAAAATAACACCTAAGTACCTCAATTCGCCAATTTGATCGCGTCTTAAATCTGTCTCCGCTTTAGTTTTGCTCTTTTCGCTGATCTTCTCGCCCCAATCGAAAACAATGCTGTTTTCACCTGACGGGTGCGACCAGGCATGCAACAATTTTCTACGTGACTTCAGCACAACACTTTCTTTTACATCTTTCTCTTGATACACAATCGGCACATTGGTGTGATTAATTATCAAGCCAGGCGCATCACCAGGATTAAACTCAGAGAATATGATATAAACACCGCCTTCGGTAGCTTGCACATCCACATTTATGCCTCCATACTAAAACAGACGTTTGCAATAATTATTTTAACAATTTTGTCGCCTAAAATGCAGCAGTTACCTTATTGCCTGGTAGTTTTAAGAGCGTACATTGCGCTTCAGAGTACTTAAATGCAGGTGTGCATTGACCGAGTACGCGTGCAATGAGCATCATATCGGAATCATCCTTGGGCCACAGTGGTGTACAAGTATTGGGTAATACCTTAAAATAGACGCAAAGACATTATTAGAATTATGTTGGGTATACCATGCATTGAAATCGAACTGACCGTCATCCACGGATCACCCGGCCTGCTTTGCTCTTGTAGATCAATCGTAAAATAACACTTGTTGCTCGCTATATAAAATGGTATAAACGTGATCATTTTCGTCAGCGAATTGTAGGTCAAATGATTGTGCACGCCTATCTGATATGGTGCGTCTTTTGATTTACAAGTTACGGCACCCATCGAGCCGGCAACATCTAATGGAATTTTATTACTCCAATCGCCATTGTCTACGCGAATCGTTGCTGCCTTTTTGTCAAAAAAGAATTTCTCACGGAAAGAGAACAAGATCGGTCCATTATACTCTGGTGGATGATAAAGTACATCGACAGTTTCTGCGTCAGTTTTATAACTAAGCATCAAGCCAGTTTTGTTGATCATCCAAAATGGACTGTAGAGTGAAATCTGTAAAGCTCCTTGGCGGTTGTCGAAACTAAGTAGGAAAAATTCGTTTTTGTATTGTAAAATTTATTTCTATTCCGGCGGCTGATTAAACATTTACCGAACACATAAATCCATATCCATTTTAGCTTCAGAATCATAGGAACTGAAACGCCAGGTAGCCATATCATGATGGTCTTCAGATATCTCTGTAGTACATGACCAATCTTTTTCCAAATATTGGATTAGCTGTAAAAATGTCGATTATAGCGGAATATAAAGAAATAAAATAAAATAAAAATAATGAGGCAGTAGAGCGGAATAGGCAAAACCAATAGATCTTCCACCCCAAACCTACCCGCACAACAAGAAAACTGCGATTATCTCGCGATTTGCTACTTAATTTGACAGTCGGCAAATGTAACACATCTCCTGGCGCCACTTCTTTTTCGCCATAGTCCAGCATATCTTCCTTAATCGCATTCGACACATTTCTTTCTAAATCTTCACTTTCAGCACTGCGCACGCTGCATCCGGCCACAGAAACACTTATGCTGATTGGCAATGCATTGCAGAGATATACCGGCGGACGTAAATGCAAAGTGTAGTAGGCGCTTAATATGGTATATTTGTCACTGTGTTCATGGAAGATTTCGGTTTTAATACGCTTCACATTGATATAGAAGGTTTCAAAAGTATTCAATGGATCACACTGTAAATGTCTGGCGTATTCGAGATCCGTTGGGCAATCATTCCATTTAATGCCCTGCACAGACACATTGTAGCCCTGAAAATACCAAAAGACATTTTACAGCTCAATAATTTGTGGGTAATTATAAGATTTCGTAAGCACAAAAGTCAACATACTTCTAAGCTGAAGTGTAAGTCTTTGATATCTGCATAAATGGCATGTAGTGGTACATGAAAGATTTCTCCTGGTAGCACTTTGCCTACTAAAATTTTTTCTCTCGCCAGCCCTTGTTTATACCGGTGGATAAGAAGTGTTGTGGTAAAGTGATTGTGTACCTAGAATATAAAACCACAAGATTTAACTGCAAGTTTATTTGCGAAAGCTACAAAGTTCATACGCACTTTGACCACGCCATGTATATTGATTTTCGTTGTGCCATACTCGGAGCGCACTTCAGAAACTATGCCCCAAGGATCTTGATTTGAGCCACGATATAACGGGAAGTAGCGTTGATCTGATTTGCAAACAGGTAGAACTACCTCTTTGTCTATGCCACCCACCTGGTGTTAAAAACCATTAGCATTAAAAATGTACCATCAAGTAATTTATTCAATCTTACTTTCACATATAAATTGTATTCCTCGTCTTCTTCATTGGTAATTGTAGATAAATCTTTTGTTTGCAGGTATGCACGTCCACCAGGCGAAATCGTACAATCTTTTACTTGTTCTGGCGAAAAGTTGGCATCAGCATCTTCAGATGCGAATATCAGTGAGCTGTTCAAGCTTTTAGCCAGTGTTGCTCTTGGCGAGTGACACTCATGCAGCGTGAATATACCGCGTCTAAAGTTTATAGAAATGTCGAAACCGGTATCGTTTTCTACAACATAGGGTGCTATCACTTCGGGTTTAACAAGACCCTCTACATTGATGGCCTGCGAGAAGGCCTCGCCCAAGACACCCAACAGATCCAGGCACGACTTAGTAACTGTGAACTGCAAATCTTCATCTGAGTGTATGGCAATTTGTGTGACTTTTTCTGTTTGTTCTTCCTGTTCTTCATCGATTTCATTGTCGTTTTCATTTTTCTGACTTATTATATCCACTTTGTAAGTTAATTCCCACGGCAAATATTCGTGTTCACCTTTACGATTTATGTGTTCATTCATTTCAATAATCGGCTCCCATACTGCCAAGGACTCATTGTAATAGTTAGTGCTTAACGTAAGCGAGCCACGAATTTTCAAATCACTACTCCAGTCACTGACGACCGCGTTCAATCGCGTATCAAGTGCAATCAGAGGCTTCGTATAATAGCCAATGCCTGTTTCAATGACAATAGTAATATTGGGCACTTCAACGATACATCTTTCTGTCTTTTGTTTTTGAGGTACTTCCAATATCTGGCTATCAATGTATTCCAATGCGTCAACTGCACGGTCTACGAAAAATTAAATGAGGAATATAGTAGGGTTGTATATGAAAGGAATTTAGCAGGCTTACCGGCTTTTAGGAACCAATAGCGTCTATCTTGAAACGTTTCCTCTGCCCATAAATGACTGTAATCAGTCTCAAGTCTTTGATTCGTTTGTGTCTGGGCGTTATCCGCGCTTATAGTTCGCATAGCTTTGTTCAATAGCTCTATAGTAGCGGGTGATACATTCAGCATAATTTCACTCAGTTTTAAGCTGACATGGAGGCCTTCCTCTTCGGGTGTTGAGCCCTGCAAACTGATCATGCAAGGGTGTAAAATATAATGCCGCGTAGCCTCACGCCGCTCTGGCATAAAGGAACACATATACATCTTCAAAGAATCAATTTGTCCATTGATGATTTGTTTTTCACCGATTGCGCGATAATTTAACTGCGCCTGCACATTAAATATGATGGCATTCGATTTCAAATCATCTAGGTTTTCCACTAGTATAATATCGGGTTCCTCGATATGCAATATCAAGTTCATTTTTTTATTATTTGCAGCTGGTTGGGAAGCGGCCTCGGCTTGGTTTGAGGTCACTGCCTTAGGTGCTACCTTTGGAGCTAATAGAAAATGAAATCGCATTTTTAGGGTCATATAAAGCATATGCCATTTTGTTATTTTTTTGTTTTTTACCTGCGTGAGTTGGAGTAGGAGTGCTCTCTTTCTTCTTTTGTGGACTTGTTGGTTCAGAATCTTCGGGTAATTTGAAGAAATCAGCGAGCTTCAAGAGATAGTCGACGCATAAAATCAAATCGAAGCTGGAAACACGCACCTCAGCTAATGGGCAGAGAAATAATTTTATTTATTTAGTTGATTTTAAAATTACAGGACCAAAACGATTATACGAGCTTCGAGTGCATGTACGTACCAAAAACATCATCTTCTCTAATACTAGCAGTTAAGTCCAACATATAATTGACATCCTTCTTGCAAGCATCCATTACATCTGTTGACTCTTCGGCTTCCTGGTCCAGCTGGTTTTCATTCCAATCCTTGCGACAAAGATATTTTTTAATTGGACTTTTGTTTGACAGACGCGTATCATCGATTTGAATATTGCATAGCACGACGGAGGTGTTAAGTGTGCCATCTATTAATTTGTTACCCTTCAGTGATAGAAGATACAGACCGAATCGTGCCAACCCTTCTTCGTTGTCTGCAAATAAGATAACGAAATTATATATTTTTTACACTGTGTTTTAAAGCGAAAACATACTTACTTAAAAGCAAATTAATAACTACACCGTCAAATAAGAAACTGAACTTCATTTGTACATGGATTTTATTCTTCTGTGGAGACCCAAAAGCATTTACTGCTGACAGAACTTTGCGTTTAGATGCAACCGTCCCTACGTTTTCGACATCAGCTTTGGAAGCCTGTGTTCGTACATCAGGCAGCGCAGGTTTGGGAGATGGTGGTTGTTCAGGTTCCTCAACCGGGGGGAATTCATCTGCTCCTTCGCTCAAATTACGATTCAAAATAGCCATTATTACCGCATAATCTTCCATAAAGAGATTGAACTGAGTTCACAGTGATGAAATAAAGTATTTACATAAATTAGTTTCAATATAAGGCCACTCCTATTGCAAAACTTACCTCAATTGATTTCAAATGCCCAGAAATATCCATTTCAGGTACATCTTTGTACCATGTACTAGACAAATTGCGTTTTACTATCAAAGTACAACTAACTGGATCCAAAATATTTAGATGAGACTTAATGCCATAGGCCATGTCAACCGCTAAAAGCAGAAAGGTAAATATTTGAGATTTATCAAAAACACTATTTCTCGATCCTACTTACTATCGACCGAGGATCTCAGATTTTGTTCCAGCAAAATGGCGGCTTTTGCTAGTCGCATATTTTTCAACTCAAGTTTAATCTCATCAAGAACCGCGCGTCGAGTATCACCCCGCACTTCCACTTCAGTTGTGATATTATTCAATGAGAGAAAACCAAGATCCAGCACGATGGCATTGAAACTTTGTGAGTCCATCGGCACAATAATCACGGGCGCTTTAACTTTGATATCAAGTTTCATGCGAGATGCATTCTCATAGGCAACCATAGCATTTTGTTTAGCTGCATCTGCTGCAGCAGCACTCGCCTGGGCAAGGGCCGCTTGAGCCGCTTGGAAGTTGTTGAGAAAACTCTATAAGAAAATAATTAAAATATTATTAAAGGTAGTGAAATGAGCAGCGACCAAAACCACATACCAAGACACCCGTGACGAACCAATTGAGGAATACTATTTTCATGCCTCCAATCGATACTGTTATGCGCATGTCGTCTGAATTGTAATTAGAAGTCTCATCCAAATTAAATTTGATCACTTGGCACTCCAGCGCATTATCTCCAACAATTGAAAGGATCTGTTAAGTAAGCGTTTATTGAAGGATCAAAAGTATTCAATTTCTCTGCTATAAAACTTACACCACTATGTTTAGTCAATGGATTCAAATCCGTTACCACGATATCCTTCAGGCGTACATTCAACTCAGTGTAGGATGACTTCAAAATTACATTCGCATCAAAATGTTGCACTTCCAGTGAAGCCAATGGTCGCTTTTGGCATGTCAGAAGCAACGAAACTTGCTCCATTTTGGCTTTTACGTGAACCTGTATGCTGTCCACCACCTTTGCAAGTCGCTGCGGACGACTCTTCACCGGAGCTATAATACCTTCATCTTCTCCCTCTTCCGCTATGACAGCTAATTTACTCAATATACCTGATTCGCCAGCATAGGCTATACGGTCCTTAAGTTGCTCTTTAACTGGTGTTGACGGCTTAATAACTTTCTCCAATTTGCGTTGGAAAGAATCGGCCAATTCGAGCAATTGCAGCAGGACTTCTTGATGCAGTGTTATGTTTAAAGTGGAGAAGTTAATGTTGATCAATTGTTCAGTGGCATTGTATTTTGTAAAAAACTCAGGAGCAGTGCGATGCGCCATTATATATGAGACGGTAAGTAAATACTTGAGTTCTTCCGAAAATCGTGGGGTGTCAATGATATTTAGCTGATAGTGTAAGTTTTCAGAGGAGTCATGACGCTTCAAATTCACAGCGCCCAGACTAAAGAACAATAAAACTCTAAATACAAACCGAAAACATTCTAATTATCTTATTAACTTACTTTGCTTCCACTACCATTTCGTATGTGCGTTGATACATTTTTACGCCCAGCTCCAGCACATGCAAGGATAATATGGTCTCAACGGTGCAATTTGAGGAAGTGCAGCTGACAACCTCTTCCAGTAACTGCTCATTAGGCATTTCTTCAACAGGCGTTCCGAATGCATTAGAATCCTGAGGTGATTCTACTGGCGTCGCTGGGGACGCCTTCGGCGATGATGACACTTTGTTCTTATTCTCACTTAGCTTCGGTTCTTTTATAGGTACTGATTTATTTAACGAAACCATAAATTCTTTCAATGTGAATATCAACTCTAAATTCGTATACTGGACGATCTCTGTAGATAGATCGAGGTTTTCTGTGCGTTTCTTGGCTTTTTTCTCCTGCGTCAGAAAACTAGCCAACGAGAGTTTTGACGAAGCTGTGCTTAATGCTCTCGTAATTGGTGATGGTTGAGCCGTATCACTCTCCGGCATTGGGATGCTTGTTGCCACGCGTAGCGCATCAAATAGACGATCTTCAGTTATATTTAGAGCAATTGAAGGTAACTCTATGTCGATTTTCATCTTTGGCAATCGCGGATCATCATCCACAGCGCATAACGACACATTACATAGGACAGATGTTGGACGCAGTATATGCATATCTGATTGCACAGCAGAGGCAAGCGTATTTTCCCAATCCTCTCCAGGCCTAGAAACCACTATCTGGAAGTTTATGTTCATTATTTTCATTCACTGTGGACATAAGCACCTACAACATACCTGTATGTCAGCTATGCTGACTTGAATTTGATCATATGCACGTTCCAATACGTGAGATAGGTCGCCTTTTCCAGCTTGAAGCATGCCCTGCAAATCATTCGAAGAGACATTGTGCGGTTTCGATGAAACAATGAATTTGCCCAGGGTTATAACAATTAGCGAATTATTATTGCTATCAGGAGAGTATTTCCCCGAACTGGGTATTATAATAATGTTCGGCATAAATTGTATATCTATCTCCAATGCAGATTTTGAGTCGATCATGTATTGCAGACCCGTAGCAGAACGTTCTTTGAAATTTGCCATGCGTTCAGTAGCGGCACCTTCCAATTCGGATAAATTAGCTTTGGGTGGCGTGAATACTTTTACCAAGCGTATTATCGTATCGGCATCATAAACGACTTGCAAAGGGCGCGCCGATACCTTAATACGTTGATCGCATTTCTTGTCAAGAGGATTCGTCTCGAAGAATATGTCGAGTAGATTTAATTCATCGGTAGTTTTAGATTCAATTATAACGGGCGCTGTGTTATCCTGATGCAAGCCTAAAAGTTTCATTTCATGCATGCCAACAGTAACACTACAAAAACAAACAATAATCGCAACATTTTAACACTTTTATCGGTTCAAAAGTCATCTTAGCCTCATTACCTTAAAGCATTTCCGCCAGGACGTTGGCAGAGATTGCAAGTAGTCATAGAGAAATTCAACAGCATAAGCGTTTTCAATTGGTCCAAACTAACGTTCTCTTTTCCCACTACACTGCTGTCATCGTACAGACCAACTTCCAAAGCAAGCAGTTTGAATTGCATTTTTATAGCCTCGTACTGTACCGGCATATCTGGTGGGGGCGTGCCCTCTTGATAGCCAATAGCATCATAAAGCTTCGCCTTCTCGTCTGCGGTCATTGCGGCCTCGAACTTTTTAACTGCACCGGAATAAATAGGAAATTATGTTTGTGCAAACACTTGTGGCTTGTATGTACAGCAATTTTACCAATGTCGTTAGCTCCTTCATCTTCGGCCTTATGTCCACCGCCGAACCAGCCACCAAACCAGCCACTCTTCTGTGAAGCTTTCGTTTCTTCATCCTTTCGGATTTTATCCACCTCAATTTGAACGCGCTTACGTATCAAAACTAAATTAAACAGATCCAGCTTCTGCTCGAGCAACGTACAGGTTTCGATGAGGCTGGCCGGTGGTTTTTTAGAAAGTTCCTTTTCTTTAAAGCTCTGTAGGAAAAATATAGAAATGCACGTATTTAAATAATGGAGCGGATTTTATCCATAAGACAGCGTAATAAATTGAGTCCTTTTCTGAAAATCAAAAAAGGATTTCCAACATAACTATTTGTGTCCTACCTCTGCGTATGTGTTGCAACGTTGACGATGCTCTTTGATATGCTGCCATGTCCACTCTCTGTTATGTTTTTTAATGTCTTCCTCCAAAATGGCATTGATGGCAAACTGCCACCACTGGCGGTAGTGTTTCTTATATGCTGAAGGAAGAATATGAATGAAATTGACTATGCCGAAGCGACAATAATTTAGTCGTAAACATTCCACTTACGTATATTAGAGGGTCGATATTTACGATACCGTGCGCCCAATTGCATACGGTTCATAGATTCACCCAGCTTGATAGCTTCTTGGAATTGCGTGCTCGTCAGACCGACGCGCAGCTTTTGCATTTCTAAGGCTAAGTCGATCTTTGGTATCACAAATGCTGGGGTATCGTACTCGGGATTCATATTTAGCTGTAGCTTCCCCATTACCGAAATCGGACCAACAACTGTCACACAGAGAAGTTACTTATGACGCTTGAGAATATCAATCACACGCTCGTTAGTTACTCACCATAATTATAGTCGGCTGGCACCGAATCTTTTTGTGCAATATTTTTACGAAAAACATTTGCCAACTCTTCCTTCGACAGTGTTGAATAAATGCTGGTTCTGCAGTTCATATACGCTGACAATGAGTCGAGATTTGCAATTTTAAAGACACGGCTGACTTGTTGCGTGAGATAGCACTTCTCCCAGTTTTCATCGGTGGTATACAGCTCGAGGTCGTGTAGCGTAACACCCACTGCGAATGTCTCACCCGTTGTGGAGGTGTCTTCATAGCGTATATGGATATTCGATATTTTTACTTGAAGATTATTAACGATTTGCGCCGTTAGTTTTTCGGAAAATGTGGCATCCGGTTTGGCTTCATCTAAAATGAGAATCACTTTAAGAAGTCACCTGTTTTTTTTATTCTAAAATCCTAAGATAATATACTTTTCATTAGTTCTTTTTTGTGTGCATCGTCAAGCGCTTTGAGCGCGGCCTGCTTTGTCTGCAGATCGTATTTTTCTTCTTTCTCGGCATCATATTGAACCGCTTGCTTGGGCGCAACAAGCATATACAGATCCTCGATTTGTGCAATCACTGGTTGACTGTAGAGATTCTTCCATGGTATCTTTAAGACCAGCTTACCTATTATAGGAAAGAGGTTATGTATCGCAAAAAATCCACAAATAAATTTTTAAGAGATATTTCTCCTATATGATCAATTTCCTAGTAGGAATGCATAGTTTACCGTTAAGGTATCTCTTCACCTAAAAAGGGCTGTAAAACGCACTCCTAACTAAAGCTGTCTTTACATGGGGCGATTTTCCAGGCGATTCAACATTGCTCTGGAAAAATTGCTCGTGTAAATGGTGATTCAAAAATCGCTTGCCTCAAAGTCAACTTGTGCAGGCGATTATCGCCTGTCAAAAAATCGCCTCATGTAAAGGCAGCTTAAGATATTTGCTATATTTCGCTTTGGTTGGCATAAAAAAAATGCCGTAAGGAAATGAATTTAAGGACTATTTTCTAATGTCCAACTTTGTCATTATCCGCGGAGCGGTTACCCGAAGCCACCAATTCACGCACAACATCTATGCAAGCAATGTAATAGATTGTTGCTGTTGTAACTACAGTTTTCAGCTGAATGTCAGAATATAAGAAGAAGAAGAACTTTCACTTACCTAGAAAACCATAGACAAGCTGCACCGGCAAATCCACTTCATCAAGGGCATTTTCTTTTAGTTTTAAGTTATTTAAAACTACATCGCCTGCAAAAGGAGAAATCAATTAATCTCTAATTCATTTTATTATTTTTTTTTTAAATAATTTTATTTATTACAATTATTGCACACATTTTTTAAAGAACCATAAAAAATATGAACAATGTGGCTTTTGAAAAAATTTTGACCTATAAATATTTACATAATCTTTATTTGTAACCTTGATGGACTGAGGACAACCCAAAAAAGATGTTCAATCGAATTTAAGTTGTCAAAATGCGCTGAAATTTTTTGTTTGTACAGCTTTTTGGCATCCATGTTGGCCAATACAAAAAAAAACTCTTTCGGACTCCTTACATAATGTTGAGAGATCATTTGGAGACGAATTCGCAATGATAGGGAGCTTTAAAAGCTTTATAGGTATAGGCTTTATAAAAAAGTCAATCAGCAAACAACCAGCAGGTAGTTTAATTTAACTTAGTTCAGACAAATAAATATTAAAAATAACTCTTTCAACAAATGTACCTAATAAGCTTTGCTATTAATTTACTTGTGCGTTCCACCCTATTTGATTTCATTTTTATTTGTTTATGTATATAGTAATTTTTATACATTCAAACTTCCAATTGCAATTAAGCGATAATTAAGTTTTACATCCAATACGCGACGTGACCGGAACGCACACTTCCAGATAGCACATTTTCCTGCAACATATTAGATCATGCTGTAGCTTGCAATATTTGCATGTATACAGTCAACCTTCGATATAACGAACCTTGATAAAACGAAAAAACTAAGGAATTCTGAATACGTTGACGGTTAGGGTCCCGTTGTTAAAGGAAAAAAACAGCAAAACTACATATCGCACGTTTAGTAATAAGGAAATTATTTTAAAATTTAAATTTTGTGGGATCAATTCATACAGTTCGGCTGTACAAAAGGACAGATGTAAAGACACATATGGCTCTGAAATTTTACAGGAGAGCGCTATTTTCTCCCGGTAATATTTTACAAAAATCTGTTATTTTAATGACGGTTTTACGATTTTTATGCATAAATATCGATGCCTGGAGTTCAGGGCTACCAAATCTCATTTTTGCCACAACGGCGATTTAGGCGATTTTGCAACTGGTCGATGGGCGGTTTTGCAAAAGCATCGACGATATATATCTTCGCCATTTTAGGGAAGTTTAGTTATCTGCAAGACTGCACATATTCTCCTAATCAATTTTATTAATTGTAGGATAAAATCTTAAACGTCATAAATTTTGAATTATTTCTCTATATTAAAAAACGAGCAATATTTATACTTATAACAAATTTAAAAAAAAAAGTTAGCATTTTTCGTTGTATCGAAATTTAGATATTCTATAAATATAATGAGGAGGAGGATAGTTCCGTGCGCAGAAGTGGAAAACTTTTGACTGCCATTCACCTGGGAGTGGCCAGAAGCGATTCTTGTGCGTACGGTTCAAATCGCAGCTCACAACGTCCGGATATTTATATCCACGTATCCTCTGGGTAGCAACCAAACACCCGTTTGGGAGCGAGCTAAAGTGATAAGGCGTAAAACTTCGCGTGCGCTGGGTTTGGGTCCCGACACGTTAAAACCCCGCCCAATGAAAAATTCCAACAAGCCTCGGATGAGACCCCCTTTTTCTGATGACGACCACGGCAAACGTATAAAGGACTATGATTTAAGGGTATGCACCTGGAATATCCGGACCCTTAATGGGGAAGGTGCCTCTGCCCGGCTGGTTGATGTCCTCGGGAAGACAAAGGCTGACATCACCGCCATCCAAGAAATGCGATGGACGGGGCAAGGTAAAGTAAGCGTGAAGCCTTGCGACGTCTACTACAGTTGCCACGTAAAGGAGCGCAAATTCGGTGTTGGATTCGTGGTAGGAGAGAGACTCCGTCGCCGAGTACTGGCGTTCACCCCGGTGGACGAACGTCTAGCCACAATCCGCATCAAAGCTAGATTCTTCAACATCTCGCTCATCTGCGCCCATGCCCCGACGGAAGAGAAGGATGAGGCGTCCAAGGATCTCTTCTATGAGCGCTTGGAACGTACATATGAGCGCTGCCCCCGACACGATGTAAAAATCGTGCTTGGCGATTTTAATGCCAAGGTGGGCAAGGAAGGGATCTTTGGCGCCACTGTCGGAAAATTCAGCCTCCACGACGAAACGTCCGATAACGGACTGAGGCTGATCGACTTCGCCGGGGCCCGAAATATGGTAATATGTAGTACTAGGTTCCAGCATAAGAACATCCACCAAGCTACATGGCTGTCTCCAGATCGAAAAACGAGAAACCAAATCGATCATGTTGTGATAGACGGAAGGCATGCTTCAAGCGTTTTGGACGTACGTACACTCCGAGGGCCAAACATCGACTCGGACCACTATCTTGTTGTAGCCAAGATACGCACCCGCCTCTGTGCAGCAAAAAATGTGCGCCCAACAATGCAAGGAAAGCTTAACGTCGAAAAGCTGCAATCACAACAGACGGCCAATTTATTCGCCACTCGACTCACACACCTGCTCTCTGAGAGCACTCTTCAACAATCCGACGTACGCGAGCAGTGGAACCACATTTCCCGATCATTAAGTACCGCCGCCGAAGAAGTAGTTGGATTTCAGCGAGCCCGAAAGAACAACTGGTACGATGAGGAATGTCAAGAAGCCGCAGAGAAAAAAGATGCCGCCTACAGGGCCACGCTGCGATCGGGCGCAACGCGAGCCATGTGGGACCGTTATAGGGAACTGAAGAAGGAAGCGAGACGTATTTGCCGCAATAAGAAGAGAGAGGCCGAAATACGTGAGTGCGAAGAGCTTGAGATGCTGGCCGACAGGAAGAACGCCCGAAAATTCTACCAGAGGGTTAGGCGACTTACGGAAGGTTTCAAGACCGGGGCGAACTCCTGTAAGAACAACAATGGCGACCTAGTGACCGATGTCCAGAATATACTTAAATTGTGGAGGGAACACTTTTATAACCTACTGAATGGTAGCAGCGCTGAAAGTAGTGAGGAAGACGAACCCGAGTCCCCAGTCGATGATGATGGAGTAGCTGTCCCACCGCCTGACTATGACGAGGGACGAATAGCGATTACGCGGCTGAAAAACAACAAAGCTGCTGGAGCTGACGGCCTGCCAGCCGAGCTATTCAAGTACGGCGGCGAGGAGCTGATGAGGTGCATGCATCAGCTCGTATGCAGAATATGGTCAGATGAACGCATGCCCGACGACTGGAATTTAAGTGTGCTCTGCCCAATCCACAAGAAAGGCGACCCCGCCATACGCGCCAACTACCGCGGAATTAGCCTTCTAAGCATAGGTTACAAGGTATTATCGAGCGTATTGTGCGAAAGACTGAAGCCCACCGTCAACGAGCTGATTGGACCTTATCAGTGTGGCTTTAGGCCTGGAAAATCCACCATAGATCAGGTATTCACAATACGCCAAATCTTGGAAAAGACCCGCGAGAATAGGATCGACACACACCATCTATTTGTCGATTTCAAAGCCGCTTTCGACAGCACGAAGAGAAGTTGCCTTTATGCCGCGATGTCTGAATTTGGTATCCCCGCGAAACTAATACGGCTGTGTAAAATGACGTTGAGCAATACCACCAGCTCCGTCAGAATAGGGAAGGACCTCTCCGAGCCGTTTGATACCAAACGAGGTTTCAGACAAGGGGACCCCCTTTCGTGTGATTTCTTTAATCTTATGTTGGAGAAGATAATACGAGCCGCAGAACTGAACCGCTCAGGCACAATACTTTATAAGAGCGTACAATTGCTGGCGTATGCCGACGACATCGATATTATCGGTAAAAACAAGGGCTACGTCTGTTCTGCCTTCTCGGGATTGGATAGAGAAGCAAAGCGAATGGGTCTGGTGGTGAACGAGGACAAAACGAAGTATCTCCTGTCAGCACACAAACAGTCAGAGCATACGCGTCTTGGCACCCACGTCACTGTTGACAGTTACAAGTTTGAAAAAGTAGACGGCTTCGTTTATTTGGGAACCAGCATTAACACCAATAATAATGTCAGCCTTGAAATCCAACGGAGAATCACTCTTGCCAACAAGTGCTACTTTGGGCTGAGTAGGCAATTGAGAAGTAAAGTCCTCTCTCGTCGTACAAAGATCACACTCTATAAGTCACTCATCATGCCTGTGCTGGTGTATGGCGCGGAAGCATGGACAATGAAAGCATCTGATGAGGCGGCTCTTGGAGTTTTCGAGAGAAAGATTCTGCGAAAGATTTACGGACCTTTACGCGTTGGTGATGGCGAATATCGCAGACGATTTAACGATGAGCTGTATGAGCTTTACAACGATATAGACATAGTGCAGCGAATTAAAATTCAGCGGCTCCGCTGGCTTGGCCATGTCGTTCGGATGGACAGAAACGCTCCTGCTCTGAAAATATTCAACGCGGGCCGCGATGCTGGGAACAGAGGAAGAGGAAGGCCTCCTCTGCGTTGGAAAGACCAGGTGGAGAAGGACTTGGCTTCACTTTGCATTTTCAATTGGCGTCAGTTAGCACAGAAGAGATATGACTGGCGTGCTGTTTTGGACTCGGTCAAAATCGCTTAGGCGGTTACAGCGCCAAATAAGAAGAAGAAGATAAATATAATGAAACTATAGATATAAGAAAGCATCTGTCCAGTCCCTTCAAATCATTATATGGAGGTTTTACTTGTACTTTTTTCTATTTACATTTATCGATAAATAGTGGATCGTTCAACTTAACTGCGATTACTTTTAAGTATACAAAAGCATATACATATGTACATTAATTTTATATTCAAATAAATTATCGGCAATTGATGTGAAATATGTATGTAGGTGCATGTCACTTGTTTGCTGGAAGAACGACATACATATGTAACTTAAAAATATATAAGTGAGAAAAGCAGCTTGAATACTGGAGTTTTTTTCCCTCGATCAAAAATAAAATATTAGATACTTCCTCACTTTGCTCTAATGGAGACAAGCCACAATCAGTGTTGCCATTTTACGAATTTTTCCACT